TTTCCTGGATGACATACTACAACCTAAAAGATGAAGTAAATAACTCCCCAGGTTGATTTTGGTCATGGCGTTTTATCACTGCAACAGAAACCCTAGGGCTTGGAGAGATGGCTCAGCATTGGCTGCTCTTCCGGAAGTCCCAGGTTGAATTCCACCTACCTGGCCATGTTCAGCTGTCTGTAACTTCTGTTCCAGAGGATCCAGCACCCTCACACCGACAACATGCATGCAGTCAAAAACACCAGTATGTGTAGAACAAAAATAAAAAAGCAGGAACCCTCACTAAGACAGCAGGTGGCCAGTGCCTGCTGTTGCCCTGTGCCAGCACTGTAAGCTTCAGTGACTGTGTTCCTAGCAAAGATGTTTCACTGGATCAGATCCACACTAGTTTATCAAGTTATTGGGCATGTAGCTTCTAAGCCTGATTTCTAGTTTCAGTAATGTCTGGTTGTGCGGTGCCTCACATAGGCAATCCCAGCACTTAGAAGACTGAAGGAGGATTGAGTTCCAGGCCAGGCTGTTCTAGAGTTAAGATGTTTTAAAAAACAAAACTACCAACAAAACTACCACCAACAAAACTTCCAATGTTGTGATATTTTTATCTGGTTACTGAGGGGACTTAATTCCAAGGAGCCAGCCAATCCTAATCGGAGTCATGTAGCTTCCATGGACACTAGCCAGTCCCAGTCAAGGTGGCTGAGGGGTCTGGAATCTACTGGCATACCATCCTGGATGGCCCTGATCTATTCTGAAAGGGCCTGGTTGATGTTTGGATGAGCAGGGGCAAATTTAGTATCTATCTAGTTGGCTATCCTGATTCCATGACAGGCTTCAGTTTACACTTTGCCTGACTAGTTCCAAGTTTCTGTTTCTTGGAATACAAAGCCAATTCCTAGAAAAACCACAAGTAGAGGGCAACCAATCAGCGTAAGTCCTCACCAGCAGGCCTGAGCCAAAACGATCAAATCCCTAAGTTCTTGACCAATCCTAAATACCCCAGTACTCTCTGAGCCACCACTAGCCAATCACCTTAAAGATTACCTCACCACACTGGGAAAGCCTTTAAAGTGAGCCTGTGGGCTCACTTTTAGGTCACCCTTTTGTCAAGGTGGTGACCCCAGCATGATGGAAACTTCTGCAGAATACACACTCTTGGCTTTTGCATACTACCTGAGTCTGGGGTCTTTAGTGATTCTCGGACCCTAACAGTTTCAAACATATAAAGGGCACTTAGCTGGGCCTATTGTCAACGCGTGTTATAGTTCCAAGCTCCCTGGAAATGCCCAGATGCCTCTGGACAGAGTGCGGATAGTGCATTCGCTTCCGGGTGGAAGATCCAGGTAAGTTTGGGTGGAAGAGGATGAAGGATGAAGGGCTCCGGGAGGAAGGGTGGAGCCACAGGATCTAGCCAGGGATGCCGGAGAAAAAGATTTCTCCACAGAAAAGGGTATTGGCTCACTGGCACCAGACAGCAGTGGAAGCCCAATCAGATTAGAGCAAACAGAATGACTGCTTTGGAATAGCTGACACAGATGGGCTTGAAAGACAGCAGCTGCCATCTGAGCTGACTAGCTGATGAACAGCAGATGCCCATGGCAACAGGTGTTATGCTAGGTTCGCGGGACCCTCAGAGACCACCAGGAGACAACTCGATGCAATTGCAAGAGAGCTTTATCACGAGAGCGATCGAACTCGGGACCCAAGTCTCACTGGCGCAGCAGTAGAGAAGTGGGACCCCAAGCTCTGAGTGAGCAGGAGTTTTAAAGGGAAAGTCCGTGAGCAGGGGGTTTCCATGGCAGCAAGCAGGGGGGCACAAGCCTTGGCGTTACAGAATTGGGTGAAGTTTAGCACCCAATTCTGACAAGGGCGGGGTGACCTTGTCTGAAGCACATAATCACAATGGCTAAGGCATATAATCACAATGGCTATTTTTCTAAACTATATCTGAAATATTGGGGAGAATTTTCCTACCGATTCTCAACCGATTCCCATTGATTATTGCCAGGGAGTTTGTCTCTATTTTCTATGAAGCATTTACTCTGTTATATTTCCTGGAGGCTGTTGCTAGGAGAGTTAACTTTGTTTTCTGCCAGGTGTACATTCTGTGATATTTCCTGGTACTTGAATTCAGTTCCCAGTCAAGATCTTTATTTCAAAATGGAGTTATATTCAAGCTGACTTAAACTCTTCACAGGGTGAGCTGCTACAGAGGCCACACCGGTCTGGGAGAGACAGCCTAGCCAGCAGTCAAGTCCCAGGGTCCAGCAATGAATTCTTTGGGGGAAAAGGGGACCTTCTTTCCCCAGCACTACAGCTCAGAATAAACAGCCAGTCTCGGATGATCTTGATTTCATGTGAAACAGGGATTTATAAGCCTTGGGCAGTTACGAGGGGTTTGGGTGTGAATATCTTTCTTTGTCTGGGACTAGGCTGCTGGCAATGCGCTATTTACATGGGTGAAGTAACAGGTGACAAGCTCACGTGACCTCCTTGGGTTGTGTCACGTGCTCCTGAGGCAGGAATGGAAGCAAGGAGAGTGCTTTCTGTTCTCAGGATGAGATTTGAAATCTCAAGTTTGAGATTTCTGGGGTTTGGACAGGCTCCATCTCTCAAGTTCCATGGCAGTTCCCCTGGAGGGGTGGTCCAGGAGCCCCAGTGCCTGTAATCCCAGCTACTTGGGAGGCTAAGGCAGGATGCTTTAAATTTCAACAGCTGCCAGTGCAATTTAGTGAGCCACTGTCTTAAAAAGTAAGAGTCCACTCAGTGGCCGGCTCTTTGATCACCTCCCCCTGCGAGGGTGGGGGGTGGGGGCTGCAGCCATGCCAGGCCACAGAGGAGGAGGATGCAGCCAACCTTGATGACATGATAAGCTAGGGTCAGATAGAAGTGGGGGAGGACCTTCCCTATCAGGGGACTAGGGAAAGGGCACAGAGGGAGAAGAGGCATTGTGGGTGGGGCTGGGAGGAAAGAAGGGAGGAGAATGCAGTGGGAATACAGAGCTGCAGAGGGAATACAAAGTGAATAAATTGTAATCAATTAATTAATCAAAAAATTTTGAAAGTTAGCGTTCTGGAGAGCTGGCTTCGTGGTTGAGTGCTTGCCCCTTTTACAGAGTTCCCACCACCCACATCAGGCTGCTCACAGTGGCCTGTGACTTCAGCTCCAGGCCATCTGACACCTTTTCTGGTGTCTGCATACAAGCACACATACTCATAACTTTAAATTTTGTTTTGTTTTGTTGTTTTGAGACAGGGTTTCTCTGTGTAGCTTGGCTGTCCTGGACTTGCTTTGTAGACCAGGCTGGCCTTGAACTCACAGAGATCTACCTGCCTCCACCTCATTGAGTGCTGGGATTAAAGGCATGCGCTACCTCGCTCAGCTCTGCTTGGCTGTTAATGTAGGATTTAGAGCTCATTGACCTGTGCTGGGGGTATAACATGGCTGCACAATTAAATATCACAAGTGCTCAAACACATGAGCATTTATGGGACATCTCATCTTCAAGCCACACACTTTAAATATCTGAGGAAAGGAAGCATGGCGACACACACCTTTACTCTCGGCACTGGAAGGCAGAGGCAAGCAGATCGCTTTGAGTTCAATGCCAGCCTGGTCAACATATTAAGACACACATCTAAAAAAAAAAAAAAAAAGAGAGAGAGAGAGAGAGAGTAACTGCTAACACTCTCTGTAATTTCCCTGCATATTTCCCTTTTAAAGTCAGATACTATGGACTAGAGGTTGGTAAGATGACTTCGTTATCTGTTACAGGGAGAGATTATTTCATATCCATTTTCAGGTAGCCGCAGCAAGAGCCAGCATAATCTGACATAGACCTAGCAACAGCTGAGCTATTGTGGGAAGTCCTGGTCCATGGAGTTGCTTATGAGCTCAATCAGAAAATGGCAGAGCTGAGATACAAGCGCTCTAGCTGGGCTTGGAAAGTCCCGAGAAAACACAAAGATAAAGTCTGAGTCACAGAAAAGATGAACCGGGGCCAGAGTTATAGAAGTGATCACTAGATCAGAAAGGCAACAGTTCAGCAAAGGGCCTACCTGCAGTAATGCAGGAATTTTAGCAGCAATAAATGGCAAACCAAGCTTCAAGCCCAAGGGCAGAAACTGGCATGAAATGATGAGAGAATAACCTGAGGCTAACTTGCCTAGCTAGTTGCTGTGAGCGAGCGACTATTCACAAAGGTCTACTCCAAGAGAAGACCCTGCGGCTTGGGCATGCTCCTGAGTGGCCAGCTGCGCTGGGGTCTGCCCAGGGCCAGCGCTTCTAGTCAGTCTGACACAGCATCTACTTCATCCACGAGCCTCTGGAGCATGTGGAGAAAAGCCGATGCTGAAGAACCAGGTCCAGGGACAAGTCATTGCTATGAAGGACGGAAACCCAAATCACAGCTGTGATGGGAGGTGGCTCCTGCCAAGGTAGCAAAGCTCCTAAGAGCCAGAGAGACCCATGGAGGCTTGGAGGGGAGATGAGGTGTTGGCAGAGAAGTCTGCAGAGCTAGCAGTGTCCCCGGAAAAACTAGAAAAGGGCAGGTCCATGGATAGCCGCTTTTAAAAAGTGGACTGTTGTGGGTTATTAATATTTATTGTTGATTTATCTTTTAGTTAAGCAGTGGTTATTCCTAAACCAGCTGCATACCCAAATCACCACACAGAGACTAGGATTTATTTAATTAACCTAGAGCACAATGCTGGGCAATAGTTACTCTATCATAAACCTTCAAGCCCGCATAGCTTCCTACCATTCAGATTTTCCACATTATACTTGCTTTTAGTCATATCTTAGATCTGGTTCATCTCTCCATGTGGTTCAAAGTCCTCTACTGCCGGTCTCTGTCCTCCTACCCTACTCGCTTCCTTCTCCTCCCTTTTGGACCAGGATGTCCCACCCTATTTTCTCCATTGCACAGCACTGGCTGGTTGTATAATTGACAATTACAGAGAACAAATGGTGGCATGTTTACACAAACTTGAGACATGTGATGCTTAGAATAAGCATCACAGTGCAATGTCCAGATTGAAACCAGATAGTGGGGGAGAGAAATCAGCATTTGAATGAACAAGGGTAAATTGTATATACTCCATAAGAACATTATACCAACAGTGGACTCAGGAAACTGGAAGGAAAGATGGCAGAACAGAGCCGGGGGCACAGGGGAGAATGGAAGAACTGAAGAGGGTGATGCCTTGGTCCATGCTGTAGCCAGAAACCATGTCCATGCTCTGCGCTGCTGCTGACTATAAAGGTCAGGGAAGCTTACTTTGCAGTGGTATGAATGACTGCGGATTCACAGTTGGGGGTGACATAAAAAGGAGGCTTCTGTGACAACCCCTCTCCCCCCACCACCCACCCCTACCCCAAAAGAAACAGGCTAGTCAGGAAGCCATTTAAGGGAACCCTTAAGAATTGTGGTAAGGATGCTGAGGTGTAGCTCTTCACAGCTGATGGCTTCTGGCAGGGTAGGGAGGAAGGAGAAATCCTCTATCTCTAAGGGGCTTTGGTAGTGTGCAGGCAATTCTGCTGTGCTGCCCTCAGGGACCTGGCAACGTCTTGCAGCATCAGCTGCCACCACCAGGTGCACCAGCTGCACGCAGGATACAAGGACCACAAGGACCGCGCCAGCCCAGCAATCTCTGTTCCAGCTCTGTTGTCTCTGCCCCCACTGTCTCTCTCTAGATGTCCCCTTTCTGTCCCTCTTTGTCTTCATGGCTCACTCATTGTCTTTACCTCTGCTCCAGGCCCTCCTCTTCCTCCCCCCAATACATTTTTTTTTAAAATACCAGATCTGTTGCTTGGCATAATTCCTCAGGGGGTACACCTTAGCATGGGCCCTTGCTACAGTATCATTATAGATCATGACTGGCTGGCCACAGGGAGTTGACCATGCTCCGTGAGTATATGGCACCAGAAATTGGACTTGGTGTTTGTTTGTTTGTTTGTGGGAACTCATAAGAATAGGGGGAGTGGACCTGGTTCCACTGGGAAGTAAATGGGATGGGGTACAGTATGTGAAATTTCCAAATAATAAAAACATTATATCAAACGAATAAATGGACTATTCCAAGCATAGTGAATTCCAGGTCAGGCTGGTCTACATAACAACAACAGGACTCAGAAACTACACAATCCAGAGTGGGGAACACCACCTTAGCAACTCAGCAGGAAGCTAATGAGTGGTGGGACTAAAAAGTGCTCTGACTGATGCAAATGCAAAGCTTCATTTTCATGCCAACCCCTGGCCACTCTCCTAGCTGTTGAAGGGTTTCTATTCACTTTGCCTTAGGAGACACCAACCTATGATGACCCCGGTGAAGAAATCAGGGCCCAGTTCCTTTAGGATGTTTGTTTCTTGAATATTTGTGGACTCAGCTGATGATAAGAAGAGTGAATTTAGCTTGGCTTGGTGGCACACACCTGTAAACCCAGCACTCAGGGAGGCAGAGGCAGGTGGATCTCTGCGAGTTGGAGGCCAGCCCGATCTATAAAGTGAATCCAGGACAGCCAAGGCTACACAGAGAAACTCCATCTCAAAAAGCAAAACACAAATAAACAAACAAAAAACTGAATTTGAGTTTAAGATCTGTAGAGACAACAAAGAGGTTGGAAGTATAGAGAAGGTGAGGGGTCAAGTCTGTAAGGAGGCACCTCAGTTTCCCTTGCGCTCCATACTAGCAGTGCTTTAGTGATTACCAGTATGTGTTATTTTGATTCAGGGTCTCGCTCTGTAGCCAGGTAGGCCTCAAAATCAAAGCAATCCTGTCTCAAGTCTCCCAAGTGCTAGGATCACAAGTTTAAGCTGCCACCTGGTTAGCTATTACTGAATATTAATTATATGTGCAGCTAACTGGAGTATATTTCTTGATGGTCCACTGAAACTGTATGGTAAGACTCTACTTGTGGGAAGAAGAAGAAGCCCTTTGTGAATGAAGTCCTGAGTAATGTCTGCTGTTGACATGGGCACAGCCATGTCAAGGACCAAAGCCTTAGAGCTATGGGAAATTGGGAAAGCCTCCACACTTTGAGGTGAAGCTTAGTGGGAGAGCAAAGCCTTCCTCTGGTGCAAGCATGGATGTTGGCAGTATGTGCAGAAAATGGCCTTCAGGGACTGCCTCTACCAGGATTAGCTAAACTTGTCTCCTTGTTCTGTATATAACAAGACAGCCCTGCCTCGACTGTCTCTATGTGCTAACTCCACTTCCCTGTTCAATTGTATATAATAACCACACTGAGCTTCTGGGATGCTTGGGTTTGTCCATCGGAGAGCCCAGACCATCCAATGCCAGCCTTTTGGTACATGTGCTTGTGTGTCCATCATTTTCTCATTCCCTTGCCATCTCTAGTTCGGGTTCTAGAATCCAACCTGTGCAAGGATGCAATGCCTATTGATGAAGAACTGAGTGTAAGAAGCTTTTTCCCTGGTGAGTGGCTTTCACAGTGGAGAAGGTACTATGCAGGCTTCTATAGAAGAAAAAGCTATCAACTGTTTCTCTGCGGCTGACTCTGCCTGTGTAGAATCAACCAGCAAGGGAAGGTGTGCTTATTGTGTAATAGTACCATGAAGTTTAGAGGGGTAACCAACTGCTTTTGCATTGAGATTGAGGGCTGCTCCACAGGAATAAACTCAGTCCTGGTGTTGTAAGCCTGATCAAAAGCTTGGGAGGTCATAGGCCACAGGGAGTGTGCTGGCTAATCTATGTCAACTTGATACACAAACTAGAAAGGAGGGAGCCTTAACTGAGAAAATGCCTCCATAAAACCAGGCTGTAAGGCATTGTCTTGATAACTTATTGACAGCTCTATCACAGGGGGCTTGCAGATAAAAGACAGCAATGTGTGTTTTGACTTTGTTTTAACCATTCCTGATTTCTGATGGGTAAAGTCCACTTGAGATGAAACCAAGTCGTACACTACTTCTAAATTTCTTCAGTCATTGATTCACCTGACAGCCTTACACAGACATCCATGCACGTAGAAAAGGAAAACAAAACCACACATGCCTTTAATCCCAGCACTCAGGAGGTAGGTATCTGAATTAGAGGCCAGCCTGGAGCCACAGAGTTCCCGGACAGCCTAGGCAACACTAAGAAACCCTGTCTCACAAAAGTCTCCCAGGTGGTACTCGTTTGGAAGGCCTGAAGGGGTCCTGGAGAATAGCTGAGGCTTGGCACCATGAAGAGAGCCTATGAGAGGCCATTGGGGAAAGTGCAGGCCAGTGGCAGCAGAAGATCCTACTGTTTTGGAGATGCCAGTGCCTTGGATGACCACCAAGAACAGCAGTGGAGTAGAGCCAGCGGGCGCTGAGGAGACAAGCTGTGTGTGCTGCAGAGGGCAGAACTGGAAAAGTGACGAATGCTCTTTGGAGGAGCCCAGGAGGCTGTGAGTGAATCCTAGATAATTAAACATTGAGCTACTTATACTATTGGAATTCAGTTTTGCTTAGTTCAAATTGTGACTGGTTCTTCTCTCTTGAAGAAAGTATTTAATTTAAATTTGATTTTTTTTATAGGCGCCCACAGCTGAAGACTTCAAACTTTATTTTGTTTTCCAGGCTAGCCTTGAACTCACAGAGATCTGATTGTCTCTGCCTCCCGAGTGCTGGGATTAAAGGCATGGACCACCACAGCCTGGCTGACTTAAAACTTTTAGAAGAGATTTTTGATTTTTAGAGAGATTGGCTATTTTAAAGAGTCTGAAATGTTAATGTGCTTGAATTTATAAGGACTGTGGGACTTTTAAAGTTCTTTGTTTTTAATGTGAGATCTTCAGGATGCATAAGAATGGAAAGGTTATGACTTACTTAGTGATTTGTTTGTGTGTGGAGTTGACAAGGGGTCAGTTGTGTTGGTGTTACCCCAAGAGAGGGAGGAACCTCTTAGTGTTGTTTTGCTAAATGACATGTTAGCAGACTGCTTCCTAAGAATTTTGCTTGCATCTGTAGATTAGTACTGCCCTCAAGCCAGGGAAGGAAAGTTTCTCTCTGGAGTGGTCAACAGTTAATGCAGAGACTTATAACTGGTCAAAGTGATGAGGAGGGATGTCTATTGAGTGCTAAACACGATAGGGGATATTTGTGTCTGTAGGAGGTGTGGAGGTCTTTGTGTTCACAGATAAGTACTAGGGAAACTTGGAATGCCAAGTACACTGGGTTGTTCCTTAAAGGGAAGGAAGGAATGCAGCTCCTGCTCTCTCTCCAGAAGACTGGCAGCAGATGTGCTTAGCAGCCTGGTGGCTTCTGTGCCGTGTGGCCGGAGACTTCTCTGGCCATGACTTTTCCCCACACCCTTATTTAATTTTCTTACTCAGTAAACCTAGAGAACTTATCTTTATAGACTTTACAAAGAGTTTCAATATAGCCATGTTTGATGTGAATTTACCTTATTTGTTCCTCGAGATTTATGTATGCTTTCTTGTGCATGTCAGTTGAGTTACTTATAGCCAGAATAGTTTTCACCAAATTGTGCTGTGCTTAATACACATGAACTATTAAGGGTCAGACCCCAGAAGTTTGAACCAACACTGTTGAGTCATGTTGAACGGAACTGCCTCCGAGCCTCCTGCAGATGTCACTATGCTGTGAAGGCCATAGAGACCCTACGTATGTCACCTTGGCCCACCAAGGCTCAGGAAACATCAGAAGAGAGATGGAAAGCATGTAGGATCCAGAAGATGTACTGTGAGGTGCCGTCTTTTCATGAACTCTGACCTGGATAAGCCTGCAGGAGATCAAGTGAATGAATCCTGTCAACATTCCAATAGGCAGCATGAGTTGGATTCAATGTATTATGAGTAACACAAAAAGAAAAACACAAAGAGAGTTTTGGGCAAGTGGGAAGGATGAGCTGGGGACTCTGAGGATGGGAAGGGAAAGGTTGGGGGTACATATGGTCAAAATGCATTATTTACATGTGTGAAATTGACAAAGAATAAAAGATATTTTTTCTGTGTGTTTGAGGTCTCCGCTATAGCAAGCTAGCTAGTCTTTAATTAATGTAGGTAGGAAAGCAGTTCAGAAGGTGAAGCTAGCTGATTTAAACAGAATCCAAGCATCCTGTGTAATTGGAATGGTAAAAATCACAATTATAAATAAATAAATATAATTAGTTTACTGTCCTCTATTTGACTATACAGTGTTCTACCTGCATGTGTGTCTGGCATTCTAGAAGAGGCCATCATATCTCACTATAGATGGTTATGAGCCACCATGTGGTTGCTGGGAATTGAACTCAGGACCTTTGGAAGAACAGTCTCTATGCCATTTCTCCAGCGCAACTTTTTATTTTTAAATGTTATTTGAGATAAGGTCTCACTCGGGCTGCCCTGGAAACTAAACTAGGCCAGGACTGCTTCCAACTTAGAAATCCTCCTGCCTCACCCTCCTAAGGGTGCCACCACGCATGACAAAAGTCATGCTATCTAAAGCATAAAGGCCTAGAGTGGCTTCTAGCCACTCAGCAAGTCAAACAAGCCCTGAGGTAGGTAGGAGTACTAAGGCGATAGGCAGGCTGTTGAGGTGGAGAAAGAGGCTAGCTCAGGTATCTGAACAGCGGGTAACAAGAAGTGACCCGGTCTACAGAGTGAAGTCAGGACCTCCAGAGCTACACTGAGAAACCCGGTCTCAACTCCCGCTGACCACTCCCAAGAGTGGTTTTGTCCAAGGTATATAATTAGGGAAAAACCTAACTAAATTTTTCCTAACTCACTTTCTATAATAGTAACAAACAGTTTCTTACCGTCCTGTATTTATAGCCCACTTGAAAATTCGAAACACAACCATCCTAACACATTATTGGCTACGGAAATGGCCTCGGAATTGCAACCGGAAACAGAAACTGACCACTGCACAAACGCCCCCTAACAACCAGCTAGAGCAAAGGCAAACCCCGAAGGTAATCCAGGTGGAAGGGGCTTGCTTTTCCCGAGAAAATCTTACAAAGAATAGGATCGGGGCAAGTCTCGAAGACCCGGCCCGTTTCTCAGCCCCTTTGGCTCTGTACGGCCCCAAGTCCACTTTTGCGCAGGCGCAGACTACTACACATAGACACAGGCTCGCGTAAACAAAAGGAGCAGAAGCCTGAGCCTGTTCTGCTTTCCCTACGTCTACTGCTTACAAGGTGAAACTGTGGTCTGGCGCTTGGTATCTAAACTACATTTCCCAGCAGGCATCCACTTCATACTGACGACAGGTTTGGTTCTTTGCGATAGGATTAAAAAAAAAAAAAAATGTGATGACGTAGAGACAGGAAGTAAGTTGATTATGGTGTTTCAGCGCGGTAACAGCAGAAGCCCCAGTGGCCTAATGGATAAGGCATTGGCCTCCTAAGCCAGGGATTGTGGGTTCGAGTCCCATCTGGGGTGGTGTTTCTTTTCGCATCTTTTATTATTGACTGTTACTGTGAGTCGAACCTACTCCTTTTGTACATTCATTTTTGAGAGATGGTCTCTCTACGTAGCTCTAGCTGTCCTGGAGCACACGCTGTAGACCAGGTTGGTCTTGAACTCACAGAGATCTTCCTGTCTCTGCCCCCATGAAAGCCACGCACAACGCTTAAAACTAGAGAAAGTGATGTGAGGTTTTACTAGTAGAGGGGCCGCATGAGGATACCCGTCCGTTTCCCCCCAGGCTGCGGGTATCAACGCCTGGAGGTCGGCGTGTTTGCCTCTGCCATCCCCGGGAGGCTGGCCACATCTTTTTGGCGCGGCCTGCGTCAGGCCCGCACTCCCCTGCCAGCCACGTCGTCGCTGACTCCCCGCGGCCGCCGGCCAACGGAAGTCCGACGTGACGCCGTCGGAAGGACCCAGGTAGGGACCTCCCAGCTCAGGGGCGTCGGCAGACGGCGCTGTGGGCGCGGCGGGCGCAGGCCGGGAGGGACGGGAAGATGGCGGCGCTGGGGTCGCCGGCGCGCACCCTGCGGGGGCTGCTGCGGGAGCTGCGCTACCTGAACGCGGCCGCCGGGAGACCGTACCGCGACACGGCGGCCTACCGCTACCTGCTCAGGGCTTTCCGAGCACATCGGGTACGGAAGCCGCGTCCCGCGGGCCTCAGGCCTCGGGAAGGGGCGAGGAGAGGGCGGGCTCGGCAGGGTGGCCGCGGGGTCTCGGGACATATGGGTGTGATCGGACTCGTCCTCCACCTGCCTTCCTCCTTACCTAGCCCAGGCCCTGGGCTATTCTGCGGTCCCAACTCCCCTACTGACCCAGGAGCCTCGTGGGGTGCACCTCCCGGGGACTCAGTGTCTGCCACCCCAGGGTGGAGCTGTCTCTGAGGATTTCATTGGTTGCCTGGTACACGGGGTGTGGAATGGCGGTAAGGGGCGGGCGCTGTGTGAAGGAGGCCTTAAGGGTCGGTACACTTAAAGGCACAAGGGCACCCTCTCCACATTGAAGTGTTTATAGGAAGCAGTGTTTATGCGTAGTGTATGCGTGTTTGTGTGTGTGTGTGTGTACACATAGAATTTCACTATTAATCTGGCCGACCTGGAATTTGCTCTGTAGATCAGATTGACCTTGAACTCACATCTGATACCCTGTCTCCTGAACTCTGTGATTAAAGGCAAAAATCAATGTTTAAGATGATTTAGTGGGGAATGTGTTAAGAGTTCAAGAGTAAGGCATTGTGCTTTATTAATATCTTGTTCATCACTGAGGAAAGCAATGTCTTGTATTCATTCTGTAGGGATCGCTGCATCATTAGCTTGCTGTATAACAGGGTGCGTTTTACTGCTGTATCAAACATAAACATACAGAATGCTATCCTTGGGACGATGCCATTGTGAAATTCACAGTTCTTAACCCTCTTAGTCGGAAGGGAATGCAAAATGGTTAATTTTCCAAATGAAGTAATGATCAATTCTCCGCCTTTTGGACAAGATCAAATGCAAGTGGAGCAGCTAAGGCTCAGCGATAGTTATCTGCATAGTTCTGCTTCAATTTAGGGGAAGGAAACCTATGTCTGATAACCTAATAACCAATCATCTTAGCTGCTGAGTTTGAGCAATGTAAAACCTTAGAACTGAAATTCACGTAGCTTTTAAAAAAATCATAATGTTAGGGACTGTGTACTAAGAACTTGGGCCAAAAATCAAGAGTAAGATGTGTCAGGTGGTGGCGAAACCTGTCTTTCATCCTAGGGAGCAGATGCAGGTGGATCTGAGTTCCAGGCCAGCCTGGCCTTGAACAGTGTGTTCCAGGAGAGCCAGGACTACACAGAGAAAACTTGTCTCTGAAAAACAAACGAATGAAGATGTTCACGGGCCACACCTGTTAAGAAGCTACAGTCCACCTGAAGAGCCATGGACTAAGACCACGCTTAGCATAAAGAAGCGTCAAGGGTGTAGATAACCATCACGCAGTGCTAGAAAGAAGGTGTGGTTAAGAAAGTCTATGGATAGGCTATTAAGCACAAGCGAATGGAGGTTAGGAAAAGTAAGGAAAAGAAAATGCCTAACTCAAAGGCAAAACCAGCAGCTTCAAATAGTGGTTAAGAGTGCTGTGGGCACGATAAGGTAAAGTATATGTGAATGCAGCTGGGCCTTATAGAGGTAACATTACTGCCCCTGAAGGGGGCTTTGTAGTGGTTTTGAAATTGTTCACAGAAAGCTGTGTGTAGTGGCCCATGCCTTTAATCCCAGCATTTGGGAGTCCAGCCTGGTATAAAGTTGAATTCCAGGACAGCCAGAGCTCCATAGTGAAACTCTATCTCGGAAGAACAGTAACGGCAAGTTTCTCAGGAAAACACCAGGTATGGTGACCCGAAGCTTTAATCCAGGTAGATAACTAAGTTCAAGGCGAGGCTGGTATAGAGAAAGTTACTGGCTAGCCATGAGCTACCCTGTTGCAAGAAACTCACAAAAACCCAAACAAAACAAAACAACAAAATCAAACTCCCCAAACCACCAAGGCTGATTGTAAGAGGTAGCAGGACATTACTTGTTTAGCATGCCTGAGGCCCTGGGTTCCATCTCCAGTGCTGGGGAAAAAAAAGAAATCCCACTGTACTGAATGCACATAATAATATGGGGGATGATTTTTATTTTCTTCTGGTTCAGGGCTAACTAAAAACTTTCTGTGCTCATCTATTCTGTTCCCTAGGGAGAAAGGATACAATTAGGAACCCCTTTCTTTTTTACCTACATCTTTTAATATATATGATGTGTATATATATATATATATATATGTGGGTGTGTGTATATACATACATACTTTTGGGGTGTACATGACAAATATGTGAGGGTCAGAAGACAGTTTATTTATTTGGTTTTTCAAGACAGGGTTTCTCTGTGTAGCCTTGGCTGTCCTGGATTTGCTTTGCAGACCAGGCTTAAACTCAGAGATCCACCTGCTTCTATCCCCCTGAGTGCTGGGATTATAGGGGTCCACCATCATGCCTGGCTGCCAGAAGGCAGTTTATAGGAGAGTCAGTTCTCTTTCTCTACTGTGGTTTTTGGGAACTGAATGCTGGGCATCAGGTCTGGCAGCAAGTGTCCTTACCCACTGAGCTGTATTAGCAACTATACTTTGCTCTTTGGAGATAGATCACAGTGATTTCCAAGCCAGACTTGGTTACATAATAAGACTCGAGCCCCTCCACACATATACTAAGTTTGACCCAGGTGTGCTATGGTGTCACATAACTGTAAATCTCAGCATTTGTAAGTGCAAGACAAGAAGACTGAATTTCAGACCAGTCTTCCTTGTATTTAAAGAAGTTTTGATTAGAGCAGCTGAGTGCTGCTTGGTAGGTCTTCTTCACTGGTAAAATGAATCAGTTCAAGCAGGATTAAAAGGAAAAGTATATAAAGGCAGGGTTATGGGGGCAGCTCTAGGGTGGGTTCACTGGTCTCACAGGAGGTAACGGAAGTCACTGTGTAAACAGGGAGACAGGACAACGGGGTGGGGTGAGGGACAGATGACACATGAACCAAAATGTCTGGATTATATAGAGAAGAGCCTCTGGGGGGGCAGGAAACCCAAGCCCCTGGGCTGGGAAGTTCAGGTAGGGACTGAGGGATGCTGGGAGAACCTGGAGGCCAGGTCTGCTTTGGTGTATTAAATAGGCACCTCAGGGGCTTTTCCCAGCTCTGAATCCCAGCACTGCTGTAATTCATTAAATATTACATGTTCGACTTCTCAGATTTTAACCTTAGATATTTAGACTGAGAAAAGGACTCATGTATGCAGTGGTGCCCAGGGACTAATCAGACATCCCCATCTATGCTTACATTCTTCACGTCCCCACTCCTTTCTCACAACTTTGGAGCCCCAAAATAGTAAGGACAGAGGACTAAAAATGAAGCACTGGGAAGAATAACCATGATTCGGAGTTACTCTGGACATTGATATGGACTTGATAGCTTCTTTTATGTTTGTTTGCTTTTTTTCAAGACAGGGTTTCACAGAGATTACGTTTATAATCCCTCAGCGAGTGCAGGTGTGTACTGCTGCCCGGCTGACTTTATAGCTTCTTAAGGTCATTAGAATCCAGATTTTCCAGATGGTTAAATTGTAAAAACAAGTTTAAGTTATATGAAAACATACTTGTTTCGATGGGCAATGGTACGAATGCCTTTAATCCCAGCACTTGGGAGGCAGAGGCAAGTGGACCTCTGAGTTCAAGGACAGCCTGGTCTACAGAGTGAGTTTCAGGACAGCCAAGGCTACATAGAGAGACCCTGTCTTGAAAAACAAAAGGAAAACATACTTATTTCATATATATATGTGTGTACATATGTACATATATTATCTTCCTTTTGTAACTATTGACTACAAAGCCATGATTTTGTAGAGAAGTTTCTGAATTTGGAGTGTAAGGTGTTAGGTCTCAGGAAGTCCGTATTTCCAGAAATGAGCTCAGCCTGGACTCCAGAAGGATTTCTAGAGGTTATATAATAAGCCATCACTCCTCAGGAACTTGTGAAACTGGTTTTCTACCCCACAAAGGAGTCATTTCCTGTGCTACAGGAAGAAGGGACTTGGCTCTCCATTGAATTGCACCTATGGTTGCACATCAAAGTCCAAGCTGACCTGTTGCTTTTCTCCATCCCTATTCATGAGTACTCATTATACATTTCAAAGACCCTATGCTGACATACTGGCTCCTCCCACCCTATCCCCAAATCCCAGGACTGTTCCAGCTCCCTCACTCCTTTTTCCCTCAGCTACTTATTCTCCTTAAAATTGGCTATCTCTTGTTCTCTCAAGGTCCTAGCCATGTCCGGTCTTTTTCTTTCTCCTCAGGACTCTTCCGATGCCTCTGGTTATTTTCTCTCTCAGTCACAATAAAAACACAGCACAGAGTGGTCATTTCAGTGCTTTCTTTAATGCACCCCCTCGCATACAAAAGGTTTATAGTTGAAGTTATAGAACACAAAGTAGACTTAATTTAAGGGAGGAAAGCATGTTCTTTATGTGACCAAACAAAGGAGGAGGTCAGCTTTCTTAATTCTGCACCATTCCTATGACAGTAGTGAACACATACCCATGCACATTTGTATTGTTTCCTTTGTAGAGAAAGCTCACTTAGTAACTCCTTCTGTGGGTATGTGGGTACAGTGCGGTGTGGACAGAGTATCTGACTTTGCTAATCACTTTTTTAGGTCACAAGTGAGAAGTTGTGCAGGGCCCAACATGAGCTTCACTTCCAAGCTGCCACCTATCTTTGCCTCTTGCGTAGCATCCGGCAACATGTAGCCCTTCATCAGGAATTTCATGGCAAGGGTGAGCGGTCAGTGGAGGAGTCGGCTGGTTTGGTGGGCCTCCAGTTGCCCCGTCAGCCTGGAGGGAAAGGCTGGGAGCCATGATGCAGAGAGTCCTCAGACCTTCCTTCATTCAAGACTGTAACCATTTGTATTTATCATTAAATATTTTTAAAAGTGTAGTTTTGGGTTTTCTTTCTGTATTTTTGTTGCCTGAGTGGTTAGGGAAATAAAATTGGAGGTGTCTGCAAGTGAGTTTGCTGAACTTTTTTACCCTGGGATCACTGACGTGTGTCTGTGCTCTTGCACATGAAGATTCGTGTGGAGGTCAACAAAGAATGCCTTCCTTAGGTACTTCTCTGCCTTATTTCTTGAGACAGTTTTCTCACTGAACTTGGAGCTCACTATTTTGGGTTTAGTGACCGACTACCAAGTCTCCAGGATTTGCCTCAGCTCTCCAGCTCTGGCGTTAGAAGCACGCAGTGCCATGACCATGTGGGTGCTAGGGATCCAAACTCAGGCCCTTACGTGTGCACACTTTACCCTGTGAGCCTGTCCCCTAGTCCCTGCTGTGCTTGGTCTAATTTTACAAACTTGGATTATTTGTTTTGTTTCGTTTTTGGTAATAAATGGAGAGATGGGCTTAGTGGTCAAGGGTGTGTGTACTACTTTTGCAGAAGATCCGAGTTTGGTTCCCAGCACCCATGATGGGTAGCTAACAACCACGTTTTGTAACTCTAGTTTCAAGAAATCGGGCCCTTCTTGTCTCTACAGGCACCTTCACTCATCTGCACATACATAATTAAAACAAATTTTTTGTTTTGCCTTTTTTTTTTTGATAGGGTATCACTATGTAGTTCTGACTGGCCTGGAACTGGCCTTGAATTCATAAAGACCTGCCTACTTCTGCCTCCATAGTGCTGGAACTAAAGAACTACCATGTTGGGCTCTTAAGTATTTTAAAATATAAACATAATAAGCAGGGCACCATTGTGCATGCTTGTAATCCCAGCATTCAGGGAGGAAGAGACAAGGCCAGCCTGGTCTACAAAATGAGTCTAGGACAGCCAAGGGTACAAAGGAAACACTGTCTCAGAAGAAAGGAAAAAAAAAAAAAAAAAAAAAAAAGCTATTGCCTTATGGGCCTATTCTGATGCCATAAATATAACTATGTTTGTCCTGTCTCGTCTCACATTTTCATTACTTTTGGTAAACATTACTAAGTTTACTATGCATCTTTCCATGTTTCCTATGCCTAGACAAACATATTATGTATGGATGTGTATCTACAATTTTTATTTTCTTACTGTATGATATGTCTGAGTGTAGGTGTTTGTATGCCATTGTGCAGAGAGGTGTCAGAGGACAGTTTTAGGGAGTCAGCTCTTTTTCCCCAGTGGGATCCAGGATCTTAGTCCTATGCTCCAAATGCATTGGCTATTTGCTGGTCCAGTGTGTCTGTCTCATAAAAGTACACAACCATGGCCAGGCACAGTGCACAGGCCTGCCTGTAATCCCAGCACTCAGGAGGCAGAGGCCGGAGGATCTCTGTGAGCTCGAGGCCAGCCTTGTCTACAAAGTGAGTCCAGGACAGCCAAAGCTACACAGAGAAACCCTGTCTAGAAAAACAAACAAAAGTACACAACTATGATATGTTCCCATTAACACAGAATGACACCCGAGCACTCTGGAATTTGCCTCTATTTCCCAAATAGCTGGGATTATAGTAATTTCTTTCTTTTTTCTTTTTCTTTTGGTTAGGACAAGTTCTCATGTAGCCTGGACTGGCTTACTTATCATGAGCCCAAAGCCGGCTTTGAATTTCTTATCTTCATGCTTCCAATTTTCAAGTGCTAAGGTGACAGGCATGTGTCACCAGGATTAGCTATGTTTTTGGTTTGTTTGTTTCTTGAATTCTGCTCCTAGAAGAATGAAGAAAAAAAATTATATCCACTGAGGCTGGGCATTGTTGACACACGCCTCTAACCTAGCACTCAGAAGGCAGAGCTAGGCAGATCTCTGAGTTCCAGGCCAGCCTAGTCTACAGTGATTTGAGGACAGCCAGAGCTACACAGAGAAACTCTTTGACTTGAAAAACAAAACAAAATGAAACAAAAGTAACTTTTATCAGGGCAGTGATGGCTCACACCTTTAATTCCAGCACTTGGGAGGCAAAGGTAGGTGGATTTCTGAGTTTGAGGCCATCTTGGTTTATAGAAGGAGTTTAAGGACAGCTAGGACACAGGGAAACCCTGTCTCAAAAAAGCAAACAGAAATAATAAATCTTGCAGGTCATATAATATAACCTTACAACTTATAAGGTTATAAATTATAAGATTATGAGTATTATAACCTTACAACTCTTGGTTAAAGGGCAAAATCAGCTATAGACAGAAGAGTGAGTGAGCCTGGCAGTATTCCAGTGAAACTTGATTGAAAACAGTGCTGAGCTGTAACCTCATTATTTCAAGGTTTTCTTCAGCTATATAGCAAGTTTAAGGTCAGCTTGAATTATGTGACACCTTGTTTTACAAAAGCCAAAAACTGGGGCATAGTACTGAATGCCTTTAATCCCAGCACCTGGAAGGCAGAGGCAGGTGGAGCTCTGTGAGTTTGAGGGAACCCTGGTCTATAGAATGAGTTTCAGGTGAGCCAGGGATCCACACTGAGGGTCTATTTCAAACTAACCAGCCCAACCAACCAAAGCAAAAGAGCAACATTCCCCACCTCAAATTGAATAAGGCAGCAATGTGGGTTTGATTTCTGGGCTGCCGTTTGCTGAACCTCATACTAAGAAAACTTTAAACACAAAGAAATGATCCCAAATGGAAAGGCAGAAGTGTCAGAAGGACTGAAAATGAAAGTGAATAGATGAACACTGGTTATATGGATGTTGGTTTGAAGTACACCATCAGGTGGATCCTGCTCAATAACAGAGGTCTGTTTAGCATGCTCAAGTCCCTGGATTTGGGGTGTAAGATGGCTCAACAGGTAAAGACAAGCCAATAACCTAAAATGTGGTTCCTGGGATTAACATGGTAGTAGAGAATCAGCTCTGAAAATTGTCTTCTGATCCTTTTGTTTTTTCAAGACAGGGTTTCCCTGTGTAATCTTGGCTGTCCTGGACTCACTTTGTAGACCAGGTTGGCTTTGTACTCCCAGAGATGCACCTGCCTCTGTCTCCCTGAGTTGCTGGTATTACAGGCATGTGCCACCACACCTGGCTTATCTTCTGATCCTTAAATGTTTTTATTTTTTAAATTGGATTAAACCCCACAAAGCAAAATGCCTGGTCACAGGGCACAGGACAGCTTGGTCTACACAGTCAGTTCTAGGCCAGTCACAGTTACATGGTGAGGCCATCTCTCAAACAAAAGACACTAACACTCAAACATAAATCCTTGCCATTTTAGTGTTCTTTTCTCAGGATAATACTATATCTATAATAGTGCATCTCTCTAGAACACAGTTAATTTGTACAGTTTTCTAAATTTGTTTCAAAAACATTTTTATGTATAAGAGTGTTTTACCTCAATGTATTTATGTGCATGGGTGCACGGTGTCCCTAGAGGACAGAAGAGAGTACCACATCCTGAGTTAGAGGATTGTCTGTTAGAGTATCTGTCCTGAGGTTGATGGGAACTTAAGAACTTGGGCACTCTACAGCCAGTGTTTTTAACCTCTAAGGCTTTCTTCAGCTCCTCTTCTACAACATTTTTCAAAGGATATCTGCACATAGCTGTTTGGAATTGTTTAGAATTTAGTTTTTGAACTGGACATTAGGGTACATGCCTAACCCGAGTGTAGCTGGAGCAGGTTTAGGGCAGCTTGATCTATATAGTTTAAGAATAAATCATATGGTCCATTATCAGCATGAGCTGCATTTAGATAAAGCTCGGTTCACAATCACGGAGAAGCAGGAGGCTCGAGGCCCTCATGTTCTCTATTTGGCAGGGCTGCTTGTTTAGGTCCTTTCAGTTGATCCATGGGTTGAAATGTTACAGGCTGCCCAACTGGGCTCACAAACCAGAAGAGTAGGGAATCTTGGGCCCCAAGACATTCACTGGATAATGTTTTGTGTCTTGAACCAAAAGGCTGAGGAATTTGGAAGGGGGGTAATGTTAGAATCTGGGAAGATTTTATGTCCCAAAAGAATTCAGCCAACGAGCAGGGAGTTAGCGTGCGCTTATAATCCCAGCACTCAGGGAGGCAGAGGCAGTCGAGGCCAGTCTGGTCAACAAAGGAGTCCAAGACAACCTAGGCTACACAGGGGAAGAGTGCAACCAATGAAAACTAAAGGGTGGAGAGACATACAATTACGCAATTAACAAACAAACCAGTACAAAAAAAAAAAAAAAAAACCTGGTTTCAAGCCAAATCGGCATCTCAACTATTTTGCCCTTTGTGTTCGTTTGCCTAGCTTCGGCAGAACTAAAAAATGTCATTCCCTACCCTACGCCGCATTCTTACTCATTTAACGAGGACCATTTTTCTCACAACAGTGACACCATAGCTCAAAAAGTTCTCTGAAATGATATATACATGTATACATGCAAATTGCTGAAGATAACAATGATTAAAATTTGCATTGACTCAGTATATACTTAAATTTGCCTCGAAACTGTGATTGCCCGTTCATATTATTATATCATTATCGATCTAGCACTAGATAGGAACTCCTTAATGTATGTGCAATCATAATGAAACAACAAAAAAAATTCCTAATTTCCCTCCCATTATGTAGAAACTAGCGACGTTTCAGCTTAAAAGAATCTCCAGTTTCTTTTTGCAGTGGCCTAGGTACTTCCCATTGGCTCACTTGGGCCTCATGTCATTTGGTCACCCCCAACAGGCCTTGAGATTAGATTAAGAAATCAACTACAGAGGAAAGGTGGCAGTTAGCAGGGCGTAGGAGTGCGGGGCGACAGCCAGCCAAGAACCCACTAGGCTGTCCTGTGCCCCAGCCCTGCCGCGGACACGCCGCTCTGCAGTATGGCCTGCCTCAAGTTCTCACGTGCACAGACTCGAATCAGACTAGCAGCTTCCAGCTGTCCTAAACGCCTGCTTCCCAGGGTGCTGCCTTCGCGGGTTATTTCCTGAACCTGACGTGTCCCGGCTCGGGCACTGATGAGGGGCAGTGGCAAAAAGGCTGAGGATAAGGTTAGGTAGGTGTCCTCCTCTA